ACACACACACACACACACACACACACACACACACACACACACACACACACACACACACACACACACACACACACACACACACACACACTCCCCCCTCCTCTCTACTAATACCTCATCTAAGTGAGATAAGGGTGATCATCCCCCGCTGAGCAGCTGCAGAGCCTATCACCAGACCCCTGATCGATCATTTACACCCCAGCTAATCGATCACTTACTGTGGTGTTGAGCACACAGTCGATTTCTCCGGCCTCGGACAGCTCGCTGAGGTTCCTGTCCCAGTGAAGAAACGACTCACTGCTGTCCAGGATCTCCATGATTTCCTCCACACTGTGGCCTTGTTGTTTTTTTCCCCTCCTCCTCCAGCAGCAGCAACAGCAGCACAAACACAGCGGGGCTCTGTTGCAGTGCAGACAGTCAGGCTGGAAACCTCAAACTCCAAGTTCTCCACAACTTTTTGGAGTGAAGGCAAAGAAATAAAAACACAGTCGAAACACGTCCAGTCGGTTCAGATACAGAGAGATAAATGTGGGAGAGAGCTGAAGCAGACGCATTCAAGCTGAGAGCTGCTGCTGTTGTTGTTGTTGTTGTTGTTTATCATCTCTCCTCTCTGGATTAGGGTCCACAGAGTGTTTCCACCAGGCTCCCCTTCCTTTTCTTACCTCCTCCTCTCAGACACAGGAATGTGTGGGAGGAGTCACAGACAGCGAGACGGAGGAAAAAAAAAACAAAGCAAACTCAAGTCTTAATCTCAGCCTTTAGTACAACTGATAAAGACCATCAAACATCGCAACATATTAAAAAACAGAACATGTAAAAGCTCCGTCATTAACTTTTGCTACTAGTTTGAAAATAGTCAGGTTAACTAAGCGGAGCTTCCGGTCTCTAATTTCAAAATAAAAAACCTAATAGTGATTGCAGAGCTTTTATTCTCGTTGTTGGCAAAGAAAAAATGTCACTAATTTAACAAAAACAAAAATATTGTTTTAATAATAATAATAATAATGATAATACATGCAAAGATATTGATTGCATACAAAAATATTTGCTTTTGTTAATTGTGATGTAAAAAAATACTACTACTAGTACCTTGTTGTAACAATAATAATAATAAATTATTATTATTAATAATAATAATAATAATAGTCAAGTTTAGACATTTGTATAATTATTATCTAAAGCTTATTTAGAGTTTCTTTAAAAACAAACAAACAAACCTATTATTATAGCATCAAAGCCTTTACATTGTATAATCAACTTATCCAGCCGCCAGAAGTCTTCAGCTTAGATTTAAAGATTGCATGGTTATCTCAGCAATTTTCTTACATTTAAATATAAAACCAACAACGTCTTGTCAAAGGGCTTTCGGGGTTTTGGTTAAATTTAGTTTTAGTTAAATTCTGTTTCCCAAAAGTTGTTTCTGTTCATCAGGCCGTAGCGTTTTCAGTGGGAGAAACGTTCTCTCCTGAGAACGTCTTGGGGATTTACTTACCTGGATAATTGAGCATGCATCAAGAAATTCTTTGCACACATACATTTCATTGGAACATTTTCAAAGATTATATTTATGTATCTGAAACTATTGCTGCACAATTGTTGCTGTTACAATTGTGAAGGGTGTCTCCTCTAATCCAGTATATTTTTTTAGACATTGTACAAACTATTAACTCTGAATGTTTTTTAAGTAGTGTGGTCATTCCAGCATGCAAATATTACACAATGTTTAGATGATTGTAAATTTAAACTTAAATTAATTTATCCCTAGGCTATCCCTTAAAAATGTAACAAAAATAAAATAAAAAATGTTTTAATTACAATATTAGAAATAATTAGAGTAGTGTGACTGCTTTGAAGATTGGTGCTGCTTGAGATCTAATGGTTAAGTATGACGCTTTTTTTTTTCTAACTTTTAGCATGAAAATGAATATTATAGTGTTTTTCTTATTAAAAGAAAAAATATCAATTGTATATTTCTAGTCCGTGAGTTATGAAGGGAAACGAAACTAAGCAAAGTTACAAACTAAAGTCAATCCTGTCTTTCAAAAAAACCTTTTATTTTTTTAAATAACCCGAAGCTACTTCCGGTATCACTGTGGTTGATTGGACTTGAATCCACAGGGTTCTCCCGTAACTCAACCGCCCGCCCACATTCGTCCGCCTGACCAATCACATCTCTTCTGTATTTAAAGCTCCTCAGAGCCTTTCACTGACAACCTGCGCAGCCAATCAGGAACTTCAAAAACTCGTGCGACCAATTACTTTAGGCCAAGAATACCTTCTCGTCTTAATCCCACCCCGGCTGCTACTGAAACAGCCAATCACATTATTCTGGTTAAAACAAAAACAAAAACACGGGTTTAAAGAGTTCATTTTAAAACAATATTTGAAAAAAATATATACCGTAACTATAAAAATTACATTTTCAGCTTATTTCAAACGTTTTCTCTCATTTTGTTTTGTATATTTACCCAATATAAAGTAATTTTTAAGTGCATTTAATAAATATTTTTAACAAATGTTGTTTATTGTATCTTTAGGAACATATATCTATTAAAAAAACAAACAAACAAATGTCTAGTATGTCCTTTCTGAACAGTTCAGTCACCGTGCAGGAAGGAAATGAAGATAAACAGATAAGTGCAACTGACAAAAGAGTGACAGAGCAGAAAACAAGAGTAAATGTAACTGATAATATTTGTCAAATTCCCCACATAGTAATGTGGTTATAGCTATAGATGACTCATGCAGTTAATAATGAAAACAGCAGAAATTAAAACCAGTCTTAAGGTGTCGAAATTTGCGAGACATGTGAACCTTGACCTCCAGAGAAACTGCTTTTATTTAAGAGCAGAGCTGGAAGAAAAATGCTGAAAATACTTTAATTTTTTCTTTAAAGGAAGAAAAAAAAGGTAACAAAACTGTTACCACATCAGAGATGTATCTTATTTTGCAGAAGCGTCCACTCCTGAGGCTGATCGTGTAGCAAGACAAAAATGTGCAAACTGCACGCAGATTGCAACACTTGAGATGACTTTGCTTCCAACACAGCAGCTTTCTGCTTGAGGAAGAGACAGGAATCAGTTTAATTAAACTCCGAGAAAAAAAGACCTTCCTTTGAAGCAGTTTAGTTTCAGAGACAGGCACAGAGATTCGATTACCTGCCATAAATCTGATTTTAAGACCATCTGCAACACATCAACATTTCACGCGCATTGAGAAACAAACCTGTTTTGTGGTGATGCATTTTACACATAATCCAGTGACTTTCTGAAAGCTTTACTTCATTTAAGAAGCGGGAGATCACGTTAGGCCATATAAGACGACCTAACCTGCGAGTTAACCTCGGCAGCAGCTACTTGAAATGGAGATTATTGCTGCAGCTTTCCTAGAAAACTCAACGATTTCAAGCATAAAGCGTGACGGAGATGCGATGAGAGAAAATAACTTGCAGGCAGAATTTAATTTAAATTTCAAAACAGGTTTGTGGGCGTTCATGTGAAACTGGCTCACAGGGTAAATTTGTCTTACTCACCATGAAACAACTTCAGCTTATAAAGACAGTATGTCTTTACTGGCACAAGGAAACAAAATCTATAACATTACAAGTCACAGTAAGTGAGAGCAGAGTGAGAGCTGCTCTTAACAGAGCTACTACTTTTCAAAGAGTCCCCAAACTCAAGAGTTATGATTCAGGAGAAGCGTTTAGAACACTTGGATGGATTAAACAACATTAAGGTTATCTGTAACGTCTACGTCATAATCAGTAGGTGTACATTTACTACAGTTGAGCTCTTTCTGCTCCTCCTGAAGCCTCAAAGACTTCATGTGCACCAGCAGGTGGTGCCGCAGCCAAAGATGATCATAGCTTATCCTGTCCGTCCTCCCGGCTTCTTGTGAAAACAGTTCCTTTACTTCACATCCTTGAGTCTTATTTTGGTATAAAGAAGAAAATACAAAAAGAAGTCGCCTTGGTGTTTGGTGGAGACGAAGACAGAGAGGAAGGTCCTTCAGGTTCTGTCTCGCACGTTATCGCTCAGGAAAATGATGTTGTCTGCAGAGAATCAAAAAGAATCAGAGAGGAGAACATCGGGATGACATGTTGACAGAGTAGATGCGTGTCACTGGATTTAGGCTTCAGCTGGAAATCTACGCTTTAACAAAAAAACAAACAAACAAACAAACAACCCCTGAATCCTGTGCAAAAGTCCCAGCATTTTATGTCTTTCCATTGGCTGCTACTGCATATGAAACACAGAGACACCACCACACAGTAATAAACAAGTAATAAGTGCCGACGCAAAGAGTATCCGGCAAAGTCTAAATCAGGCCCGAGTGTGTTTGTATGGGTGTTTGACCTGACCTGCGATGATGGTGGTGGCCTGACGTCTGACTTGGTTCTTGTCCACGTATTCGCCGTAGTCCAGCTTCCCCTCTACTAGAATCCTCGACCTGAAAATGACAATGGTTCATTCGCACAATGTTCTTTTATTCTGAAACTCCTAATGTGATGAAGAGATTCTGGAGCTTAAGACCACAAAAGCATATTTTTTATATCTGAAAACAGAAGTCGTAGGAGTCACTGAGTGTAGAACTCCCCCCCCCCGAGGAGTGTTTTTACTCTGCAATACTAATAAAATGCCGCATGTCTTTATAAGGTAAAGAAGCACTACAACTGATTTTACATCAGGTTGTGTTTATTTGTCACGGAGGCTGTGAGAACAACCTGTTCCTGCCTGGCAGCTCCAACGTCAGCATCTTTGACTTGATATAGCCCCTCTCCCTCCTCTGCACATGTCCAAACCATCTAAGCCTCGCCTCCATCTCTAACTCTGTCACAAAGGTGGATGCTGATTCTTACAGTAACTACTGCAAGCTCTAAATCTACAATGCCAGACAAGTCACTGGGAGTGAGTATTCTTCATATGGCCATCTCACATAATTCCCACTCACATACCGGTCAAACCTTCTGTTTATGAGGGGCAGCCAATCAGAAGAAAGCCAACTCATGTCTGACAGTGGATAAACACAGATAGGATTACTCTGATTACTCTGTGATTGGCTTGGGTTTGGGAACATTTAGAGAGCTGGTAAAAATAGTCATGCAGCTTTATTCCCCCTTTCCCATCCGCAGCAGAGCAGTAAATCTACACATGTATTCACAGCTAAGTCTTCTGCCTGTACAGGAAACATGCAGGTCCTACCCTTTTTTGACGTACTGGTACGCCACGTCTCTCAGACCAGGTTTGAATATAGACACACGATGCCACGTCGTCTTCTGGCTGATGTCACCTGGAATTAGAAAACAGCAGCAGGCGAATCAGATTAATTGGTATTCAGACTCTCCAAAGAAACAAGCGCGCTTGAAATACCTTTAAAAGCCGAGCTAAGCCCAAGAGAACATGAGAAAAACAGTCAATCCTCTTATTTGGAGTGTTATTCATTCTAATATTTAAACACTTTAAAGGCTGCCTGCACGGCTTTTCTATCACAGTGAGCTATGAAACGTGTCTCATCAGTTGTATTTATGATTTCTAATGACGATCATGAATGAACCATAAAGGCTGGAGTGCCTGATGATGACTGAGCCCAGTGCAGAGGCACATGAAGAGCAGCTGTCTAGACTCAAAACCTTGAAATCCAGCAGTAGTGATGAATAACAATCTGTTAACGTTCGCCGACGCCCTCTAGTGGCAAATGCAAGCAGTTGCATCCAACTTTGACTGATAAAACAGTGATGTCACAACAACATGAATATCCCACCTTCAATAGAAGCTCCACATTTAATCGTTTATTTTGTTAAAGTCTATTAGTTTCCTAAATAATTTCCTCCTTCTTGTTACTGAAACATCATCCAGATAGTTTATTATATCTCCTTTATTTGCACCCTCTCATCAGCTCACTCAGCTTTATCAGTGCATTTTTAACATATATTTATTTTAGCATTTAAACCTTTTCAAAGAACACTTGACCTTTTATTTCACTCTAGCTTCAAAATTTAAGCTAGAATGCAGAGAATGCGTCTGCTACTCAGTGACTAACACAGAAACACCGACACTGAAATGTTTGATTCAGGGACGCAGGCAAAGAAAAATGAGACCTTGAAGTGCAAACAGCCCTCACCCTGCAGAAAATGCATGATATGAAAAACATCTAGCAGCAAAAACAGCAGATAATATCAGTTCACGTTGATCTGCAGATACGGATCAAAATCATGCAGTGCAGTACGTAAATATGACTGAGCAACAGCAAAATGAAACAAAGCTGACCAAATCATCACAAACCCTGTTGAATGTTGGTGCTTTCAATGTGTAAAACCAGACTGAACCAAATCAGAATAAAAAGAGGGGTGTTGGTTACTTTAGTAAATCTGAGCTGAAAGATCAAGCTGAGAAATGTCACATTTCAGAGGAGGACGTTTCAGTTTATTCACAATTAAAATACGATAATATATAAAATTGTTATGTTTGTAAAACGGGACTCCCCTTAAGCTAACCACAGCTTATAAGTACAGACTCAAACAACAAGCAATATGCACCAAGTGCATATGTACTAACCTAAATCACTACACTATCCCAAGATTACCCTAAAGATCCTAACATATAAACAGCACTAATCCAACACATCGACATCAAAGATGTCAAAGTCATATTACAATGTGGGACACACACAGCCCACTTTGATCTCAAGTGAAAATGCCCTTCTCTCTCAAATTTAACTATTTAATCCATGAGATATATCAATATAAAGATAAATAGGTCAGTGTCAACAGTATGTTCTAGTTTTTCTACATGATAAATAAATGCTGCTGTAGTAACTGCCCTGGTTCACATTTCCTTAAGATGTGCAGTGGGTCTGATTGGAGTCTTTCTTGGGCCAATTCTGGCCTTAATTTTTTTACACATGAGAATAATAGTATGAACATCAGTTGGAGGTGTATTGTAAGTTTTTAGTAGATCTTTTGTTGGGTCTAAAGACTACATTATACACTCCTACCTGGTGAGCTCATTTCTCCCTCTCCAGAGCGCCACATCTCATTGGTCGCTAATGAGAAGATGGTAACCGGGTTTCGGCCCTCCACCTGTCTCATCACCGGGTCTTGGCCGACCCGACCTAACAGCTGCACCCGGTTTATCGCTGAAACAGATACAGACAGCATATTTATTACAGTTAGCCCAGCATTTATGAAAATCCCCTTTGAATTAATGTGTAATAACTAGACGCAGTCCCGGTCCTCCATGATGAGAAAACACTGCAGCGACCTGATGTTCTGATCTCAACCCATCTGAACATCTGTAAAAAGATTCGAAACCCCTCAAAGCAGAGAGAAGAGAAGCTGGAGAAGAAATTCACTTACATCTCTCCAGGATGAGGCTGGCGTCTGTACTCCTGTACCTCACCGCCTGCCGGATGATCTGAGAAGGAACAACCAAATAGTTAAAATACTTCAAAATGTTGGCAACAAGATTTTTTTTTTTTAAACATATATTTACAATTTCTACTTTTTTCCCCATTCCATCTGTTATTAATTACAATACCTACAAATCATAAATCTAATACTGATTTTATCTGGTACGGTTTATATAGTCCAGCGCCGACCATTTCCTCCTCACCTGTGCTGATGCACTTCTAAGCATCTTTCTTCTGACTGAAGACAAACACAGCAGCTGAGACTGATACAGTGCAGATCTGAAAAACACAATAGAAATAATGTGTGAGCTGCAAATATCTTCCTTAAGCTTGAAAGAAAAAAAAGATTATAGTTAACATAAATATGTTATCATTGCACTAAAATATCTCCCAAAGTAGCATTTCCTTCCATCCATCCATCTTCTGCTGCTTATCCATGTATGGGTCGTGAGGGCAGCGATCTAAGCAGAAGCTCAGACATTCCTCTTCATTTCTTCTGGTGCAACACTGAGGCGTTCCCAAAGCAGCCCACTGGACCACCTGGACTTGTCCGAAACACCTCAGCTGGTTCATCTTGATGTGGAGGAGCAACAGCTCTACTCTGAGCCCACAAACCTTCAGACGAAGCTCATTTCATCCATTTGTACATCTAACTTCCGCTTTCAGTCCTCAGCCGGTGAAGGCAGGAATGCTGACTGACTCGTTCACGAGTGAGAGAAACTATTTTAATCAGCAACAACAAACAGGATGTTTAAATGTGGCTGACTACATGCTATCTGTTTAGTTTTATTTTCATGCATTCTCTTTAACTGTAAAGTGTATTTTGGAACTTCATATGGGGCTCAAGAAGAGTTTCCAATTAAGAAGTGTGTCTAAATCACCTGATCATAATCACAACTCCAAGCTTACTCATTGCAGCTGCACATTTAAAACATATTATACACCGAAGTCACGGCAATATGTGAATATGAGAAAAACTACTGTGTTTCTCCAATTTTCTCTGGCTCAATGGACGTGTTTATTGAGACTCTGGAAGTCTACGAGACTGTGAGTCATAACTAAAAAGACTAAAACTAATACTGATACTAAAAAACTAAACATTTTTAAACATTAAAAGCTAAAATGAAGTGAGAAAATCAGCTCTAGTAACCAGCAAAATAAACAGAATTAAAAACAAAAAGCCAAAAGGAAATAAAAATGAGAAATAATTAGAAAACAAAAAACTATAATACCTCTGAAGTGAGCCAGACCAGTGAAACTGAAAAATCTGTAAGGTTAGCAACAACTAAAAAAGTCCTGGTAGTTCCAGACTGTCCTGTAATTGTGGAACATAAATGTTTTTGTTACCTCATATCGTCTGTTTATTTTTATTATTATTTTTTTATTAACACTGTGTACTCGGTATATTACACAAATACAGTTTGTAGCTTTCACTTAATTGCTTTAATGTAGTACCACTGGCCATGACATAAGTCTTTAAAAGTAGAAAAACAGCTAAACTTACATACAGTTAATAGTCTAAAATGTTTAGCCGGATTGTGTTTTCCGGGCCGATTTTAGACACCATGCCTTATGTTTTACACCTTTGCTTTGTAGTAACTGCTCAACGTGACCTGGTGCATTTCAAGATAGCTATAGGCTTGCTTTTACAAGGCTCGAAGTCAAAAATGTCAAAAAAAAAAAAAAAGATCTACTCATGAAGCAAACTGCTATTACTTTATTTTGAAGAAACAAATACATAAGTAATTTTTATAACAACCCACATCTCTTTAATGCTAGTTTGTTTCGGTGATTTAGAAAGAGTTTTACTAGTAAGTTCATATTTTATATGCAATAAAGAGAGTTCAGAGTTAAGCTAGCAGAAAAATTAGCCCAGTTTATGTAGCACCGACCACCAGAGTCAGAGCTCCGGGTTCTCAGAGGAGCATCGAGGCTTGAGAGCTCTCCCGCCATAGGATGCAGACTCGGAACAAACCCCCAGTAATCAACGATTTTCTCCCCAAGCGCGGATTTACAGCGGGGAGCACCTGGAGACGAACCCGTGTCACAAAACTGTACAAAAATGAGCTCCTCAGTGGCCACTAAAGAGCCGCTTATAAACTTACCAGGTGCAACACTTCACAAGAATCTTCTGTAACCTCACGCTACTTCCGGTCCGTCTCCAACAAGAGTCCGACGTTCCACGTGTCGTTAAAGCGCTATTCCGCTTTAAGGGCCTTTATTTTTCGGCTGCTCCCTGTAGGGGTTGCCACAGCCTCCATCTCACTCGCTCTCCTTTCTGAATCTTCCTCTTTTCCTCTTCATCTTCATCCTTTCTCCCTATTCATGTTGGTCGCTCCCTATAAAAAATGTTATCCAGAAAAGAATTACTAACAATTCAAACACAAATTACCTTTTACAAACATATAGTGACAAATATTCATCTTATTGAGCTCTGGGTTATGGAAGCTTGTTTCCACCTCTGAAAAAATATTAACTTGGAGTTAAACTATGTGTTTATGCCATAGTTCTAAATACAATGATCTATTTTGTGATATTTTAGTCTTTAAGTAGATATACATACTGCTTTTTATTCCTCTTGGTTCTCGAAACCTGTAAGCTGGGGGTAGGGTGAGTCAAAAACAAAACACGGTGAATCTAGCTCCCCTGCAGTGTAGCAGTATATAAACCAGAATTAACCCAGCTGATTTCCATATTTGCATTAATAATAATTCAACATAAATAGGAGATGATCCTGATAAAGGCCAGTCTGCAAATATACCATTCTGGTATGTTTTTAAACTTAAGTAGTTGTTTTTGGTCTTGTGACGCTCACGTGATGCTTTATTTTTTACCCCAAACCTTGAATATTCCCACTGACACTGAATTTATTTAAAAATTAGTTTTGAAATGGTCAGGGATCGAGTTGATAAAGTACAAGGAAATTTAGAAATAAGCTTTAAAGATTCAAACAATAGTTCTGGCACATAAAGAGGACAATTAAACAGAATTAAATCGAGCTTTTATAATGAAGTAATAAACTATGAGCAGGAAACTGCGAATATTAACGTGTAGAAAACGAATTCTTTAGGCCTTCCAGCAGAGGGTGCGCTCGTTTTCCAGATTTCTCGGTGGCGCGCTGCTGACAGCGGGGTGGAGTTGTTGTTTGGTGGGATGCGAACTTTCTACAAGACAACACCCTCGCCTCTGACTTCACACTTCACACACACACACATCAGCACACACTCTCTGCGGTAGGATTATCACGATAAGCTGTCAGTGCACGGGTCCGGGCCATGTTGCTCATAATCCACCTTTTAACCACTTTGGGTGAGTTGAAGTTTTAATTTGAACAACTTTATTTGGCTAAAATTGATCTGCTGGGACATGTTCGCTCCCATCACATGTAATGAGAGGCATCTGTAAACGATTATCCACCGTTTTCCTGTTCCAAAACAAATGCTGGAGGAGAGTTTAAGAGCTAAATAAAACTTTCAGTAGAGCACTTTCCCACAGCTGCGCACTTAATTCTCATCTGAAGAGTAAATTCATGTGATTCTAATTGAAATAAACTGACCGCAAGCCTGCTCTGTTTCTGGCTTTTATCATTAAAACCAAAAGAAGAACGAGGCCAGTGCTTTGTGCTGACATCTCACTGACACCAGTCTCTCCTCCCTGCAGCCCTGTGGGCTCCTGTCAGGGCACAGCAGGTTCCGCAGTTCCCAGATATTTGCACCAAGGGCAGCTGCTACCCAGCCACAGGTGACCTGCTGATCGGCAGGGCGCACAAACTCACCGCCTCCTCCACCTGCGGACTGAATGATGCCGAGAGCTTTTGCATCGTGGGACACCTGGAGGTAAGAAAGGATCTTTTTTAGAGCACAGGTAGCAGAGAAGGCTCAATTGAAGGCTTCCTGCACGTGTTTTGTGTTTAATATCTTACAAAGTGCCAAAAGAAGATAGCCTTTTATATAGACTTTTTTAAGCCTCATTTGACCACTCTGTTTTTATAATTAAATGAGCCTTTGTTTTTTCTAATGGCTCATTTTCTTTTTCCTATATTCATGACTAATATTCCTTTGCTTTTTTGTTTTATTCTGTTTTTCTCCATTATCTACAGTTACAAAAATAAGAAAAGAAAAGAAAAAACAACCCACAGAACAAAATATTGGGGCAATGATAAATATTTTCTGAGATCAGTAAGGAAATAGGGTTATCTCTAATCTCTACATAAAGTCAATTTATTCCGATTTTGGTCAAAGATACTTGCCGTAAACTTTAGATGATAACTCCAGTGTGTTTTAATGTCATTAATTATGATATTAAATACTTTTATTCAGAAGAATATAGGGTTAGCGTCAGGGCTTATGCAGCAGTAAAGCTAAGCTAACGAGTAAGAGCTGTGGCAGCTACAGCAGCAGAAAATCTAACAACAGGAAACTGAGGCTACAGTTCACACAGGCTGACCAAAACTGGACAACAGAAGATGATGAGCTCTGATGAGTCTCAATTTCTGCTGCATTGTTTGGATGGCAGGCTTGTTGATGGCAACAACATGAGCGCATGGATCCATCCTGCCTTATATCAGCAGCTCAGGCGGGTGGTGTTTGTGCTGGAAAGCTGTGGGGGATATTTTCTTGGCACACTTTTGCTCCTTTAGTGGACAGGTGTATTACTGCATTTTAACTACTGTACATCTGTTTATTGGATCATAATTACAGATTCATATGCACGCAAAAATATACATAGTAAGGTTTAAAAACGTACTACGCTTCATCTCACCACTTGTGAATACTTGTCCTCGAGTGTTCTCTCATCCAGTGGTTAGACTCGAGTAGTTTTTCTTTCTCTTTGATTTGAAACCACGGTTTGTAAAAACAAAGCGTAAACTCAAAGCTGTGGTTGCCTGCAGAGCAGATTTTTCCCATTGGGATGATTCTGAATATAATCAGAAAGAAAATATATTGACTGTAATTATATGTGACAGTTCATATATGTCATATGTCATTTACATGCAACATTTAAAGGATGTCAGTAGAAAAAGCAAACATCATTGATATATAAGAGTGGCATTCACAACATGAGCAGTTTCCTTACAGCACAACACTCATGAACTCAGGCCCACAGTTCAACCATGTGAAGCAATTCTAAGTCTCAGTGGACTTCGTGAACCGTCTCTGTAAACAGAGTTGTGGAAAGAGACGTTTAGCCAACCAAATTATTTCATCTTGGTGTTTCCTGCCACTACAGTATTTCTGTAACAGATGGCTCAAAGGCCTGCTGGATTATTGGATTTCTGTAGCTGACATCAATTTTCAGAGCTTTATTTCTGAAATTTTGAATATTTCTAGCTTCATATTTTTCTACATGCTGCTAGAGAAGCTTTGCATTATTCATAGTCTATTTATTATTTGTATTTTACTTATACCTTGGCCTCAGTGTAGCTCCTCGGACTGAAATAGCTGGAAAGCTTGCCTCCACCAGTGTGTGAATGTGAGAGTGAATGAATAGTGGAATTGTAAAGCGCTTTGAGGGTCTCAAAAAGCGCTATATAAATGCAATCCATTATCATTAAAGCTGTTTTAGCTTCTCATAAACATAAGGTTTTAACAGCTAGTGGGTCAGTCTTCTAGGCTCACAGCTAGATCTGTGTGCCTAGAAGACCATATTAGGCACAGGCACACAGAATGGCATCATACAGAGCCAAAAGCAGAAAAAACTGCCAGAAACAGAGCGTCTGAAGATTGAGGTTTTGTCTTGGTTACACACAGATCTCACTATTTGAAACTCTGGCCATGCTTAATTCACCAATGTAACCCCAGCGGAAGGGGCTACATGAATAGGATGACGGACCTATGGATTCTTCGATACCCAACATCCACAATGACGGCGAAAC